TGCCATTTGAGAGATTTAATGCCATTTGAGAGATTTAAATGCCATTTGAGAGATTTAATGCAAATTACGAAATTTGCGAAAGACTGATAATCACTCGCAAACCAGCAATAATTTATTTACAAAAGTTTTGAAATACTAATGGCCGCATGTAAGCGACTTCAAAGGAAATAAAAAGAACTAACGCTTTGTTAAGAAATACGAACATTTTGAAGAAACCTCAAATTCCGAAAAGATAAAAAACGCTGTAACTGTGGCCTATAAATGTAACTATAATTGTTGGGTGAACTCGAAAAAAATATCACTTTGTGTATATTAAACTAACTCTTTTATCAACTTTTTATAGATACTTTTAATTTTGGATAACAGTTAATTGCAGGTCCTCCTCGAGCTTCCGGCGGATATTTCACCATTTTCCGTCTTTTAAAACTGTTTTCCACAAATTTAGATTCTATTCGATCTGTTTGTAAAAACCTTCAAAATAATATATTTTGTATAAGGAGTAACCCAAGAAATAATGAACTTTAGGATATTAGTTTGTATGAGGATGGCCTTTTGGGACATATTTGTAGACTCATCTAAACATGAAAACTCATTGCCGTGAAAAATGAACGTCCAAAACGAAATTCCAATAGTCATGAGCCCAAGAGCAATGAAAACTTTCTACAATAAGATACCTCTTTAAAAAGCGGTTAAATTGGATATTCAGCCGACGAATATCTGCGTAAGTTAACATTTGCCAAGGTTAGGTAAAAGTAAAACGGGAAAATTTGACCGATTTTTTGCTTAGTGATAAATTTTTGGCTGCAAATGAAAAGCGCACAGTATATTTGGCTACTTTTAGGCCCTGTAATACGATTACAAATGCCCTGAACTAGGGTTGAATGTATACTAAAACTTTGCGAAAACTATTACTCTTCTGACCGTTCCGTTTTTCCATTTCCTAGTCGCAGAACATGCATGCAGGTCCCATTACTAAAAGGCTTTCTGGATGTTATAAATGTTAGCCAAAGCCGAGGGATCACCGCCTAATTACCCCTTGTGTGAGTTCCCAAGGAAGAATACGACAAGAAGAATGTAAAATCAGAAGTCTCTCAGCGTAATTAGTACAACACATTTAGGGTAACAAACGCGTCTAAAGTTATGTCCATCGGGCCAATCAGCTACTGTCCTGGCGTAAGTAGCAACACGATTGGCTTGTGGCTCAATGGCTGGCTGCAGCTTAAATTTTAAATTATTGATTGATTGATTGGTTGACTGATTGATTGATTGTCAGTCTGCGTTCACACCGTATAGGCCGATCGGTGGCCTGCCATGAACGCGGCTCGCTGCCTGCTGGCTGGCTGCTCCTAACACTAGACATCAAAGTTACTCAGTTGATAAAAATAAAAAGGCCAACTCTATACCAAACTTCCAACTCCAATTTCGCTCATGGAGCTGCTCGAGTTAGGTCACTTAATGTACTTCTGAAAATATACGAGAAAGATTCATTTTCATAGCATTCAGCCTCCTCTTTCACTTATTCACGGTCTATGAGATAAAAACTGCCGGACTGCTCAGATTTCCTGTCAAACGCGAGAAAGTTGGGCAGTCAAGCATTCAGTGCTACAGCTAGGGAAAATTATGCAGGTCACTATAGTATCTTAATTCGCCAACCTGAAGCATGGCGAGCTTCAGGCACGTCTGCTCGCAGGGCGCTCGATCTCTGGAAGCGAGATAACAGCGAGCGAGAAGCGACAGTGCAGCAGTGTGCTTTATCCGATCAAGAAGGTCTGGTGGGTGCATAGAATTTATCTCCTTGATCGCGATGTTACAGCATTTAATTGCCGACTCGAGGTTGTCTGGTGGTCCAGCAGGTACTTCCCCTGAGTTCTCGTCCCCGGCTCCGGTGTCCTCCCTGTCTTTCAACCGAGACTTCTCACGTGTCGGTGAATTGCTTTCTAGTGCTCCGTCGGCCGTTGATAGGTGTACATCAAGGTGCGCTTGAGCCATGCAGATCAGGATGCTAGGAGGGATGGTTTAAAAACATTTAGATATATATAGCCAAAAATCTAACATTTAAATTTCCGAAAGCACAATCAGCAAATACAAGGGAGTCGCTACAATGACCATTTATGTTTCACTTGTCCCAGCCAATTAGTCTTACCCTAATTACTGCCTAGAAAGATCTAAGAGTCAAAGCTCTTGGTTACTTCGATAAAGACAATCCCAAGTCAAGTGAGTGCAGCTCACGATCAGGACCGATTTTGATCTGAACTCAGGTGCGTTGGCAAACTCCACTTTCGGGACAATTTGAACTAAGCCATCTTATCAACAGCCTTGGCAAAGGCCTGGTTTTGCGGGCCAGCGAGTCGGTGAACCAATAACAGAATGCTCTTGCTTATTTCAACATAGCCTTTGACTTTGATTGAACTTATCTGGATGAATAAAAAACCAAACTTTATCCAGTAGGATACACCGTTCCGCAGACCCCCACAATAATGATCATTTCGATTCGGGACCTAGGATAGTTAAATCTCGGCCCTCACGCAACATCCACGAGGGTTCTTT